CGGTGGTGTTCACAGGGGGGGGGGGGGGGTGTCTTGCCGTTCCCCCCCTCCATCTCCTGCCCCCTGCCTCTCGCTAGAAATGCCTGATTAAACCAGTTCAGCTCACTAAAACGGCAGGGGGAAAAAAAATAATCCCCTGAAACCCAGAGCAAGATAAGCCAGCTCGGTTGGAATATTTTCTTCCAGCTTGGCAGCTGGGGGCAGTGCCAAAAGCAGCAGGAGGGAGCGAGGGAGCAGGGGCGGGGGGAGCCGAGCGTGCTGGGGGAAGGAGACCATCCCTTTTGGCAGCGGCCAGCTTTCGGTGCGGCTTAGCTGTAAGGTGAAACCGCACCCTCGGCCTCACCTGTCTGTCTGATCATGCCTTTGATTTATACCCTGGGTTTTGCTGTTTAGTTTTCCCCGCAGACTTCAACCATTGTATCTGATAATGAACCAAGTGGTTGAGCCTTATTTGTTTAATTCAAAGGCAAGTTTAATATTTCCTACCTCGCAGTCGTACAAAGTCTGCCTGCCTCGCAGACCTTGGTTTTCCTTGCAGCGAACCCGTAAAACGCCAAAGAACGCTAGGCAAGGGGAAAAAATGCTCGTGCCATGAGCAGCCCCTCGTTGAAGAACGGGCTCTGCGAAGGAGAAAGGCGAAGGGGCTGGGCACCACTGCTTTACATTTTTGGGGTGTTTTGGGGGTGTCTTGTCTTTGCAAAGGTGGCTGTGGGTTTCATTGCCTGCGAAGTGTACCCCGCCGGCTCGTTCCACCTCAACTTCCGCGTGCTGGTGAGACCCCTGCGTTGTGGGCTGCTGGCTCCGGTCAGAGGCGAGCTGTGGGGATCTTCTCTGCCCTCCTTGTTCTCGGGTGAAGAAAAGGCGGTTCCTGAATGCCTCTGCAATCGCTCTGCGTCATCTGCTGAAGCACTGAGGGACAAACGGATGCTGGAGATGTCCTTCCTCCTGGAGAGCGTCGTCGTATTTTGCGTAGACAGCTCGTGTCCGAGTGGCAGCTTGCTCTAGCTGGAGATGCTCTCGTTCCTGCAAGGGGACGGTCCTGGGGGGTTTCCTTTCCCAGTCCTCACCGAGTAAAGCAAACCATTTATCTGGCTAAAAGGCCTCGCTCTAAAGAATCTTAAAAGAAATCACGGTTCTTTTACGTGCCAGTTCAGGAGGTAACCCCCAGGTGACCGTTCCTCTTGTGAGGACAAGTCCCATCTGGGGAACTGCAGCGAGGAAAGAGGACAGTTAACGTGGCCCCTTCTGAAACAAACTGAAGATGATTCTTCTGAGTTGAAATCCCCTACTTGTTTCCAGATTGATCCAAGCTAGGTTTTCCCGAGTAAAGTTACTGTGATCAGGTGGGGGTTTTTTTGGTTTTTATTTCCTTTTTTTTTTTTTTTTTTTTGCTGCTTTTCTGTTAAGAGATGATAGATCGGCCCAAATAAGGGTATGAGAAAGGCTGGCGATTTTCAGGAGGATCCACAGACAGTCAGTGCATGACTTGTTGCCTTTATCTCTGAGATCAGGAGATTCCTTTGCAGTGATGGATTAATCCACTCTTGAGTGAATAATATAACCGAGAACAAGTAGGAGCCAGCGTTCCAAACAGATGATTTGTTTTAATACGTGCATGCCTCTCCTCCCCACCTCCCCCTCTGAAAAGCTTCTTTCTTCACCGTTTCATTCAGCCTGCCTCGCTGAAATCTTACAACAACCTGCCTGTGCGCCAGCCCCCGTACCGAAGGGGGGATGAGGATGGGGCTGTACCAAAGGCCTCTGGTCCCAGGTGGACGGGAAGATAAACCGCAGCTCCGCCAAGGCGAGGGGAGGCTCGGGTTGGAGAGGGTGCCCGCGGGCTGCTCTGGCCGTGACATCACCCGTCTGCTCTGGCCGTGACGTCACCTGTCTGCACGTACTCCATAGCCCGGTCAGAAACGTTGATGCTGGTGCTGGCACCTGCCAGGGGGTTGAGCTTGCACCGCTCGGGTCTGTCGGTGCCCCAACACAAGGCAGCGTGCTCTGCGTCCAGGAAAAACGTTGTACGTAGGAGCTTGAAAATTGGGGTTGGGAGAATGAACTTGTTGGGGACAAGGAGATGGCGATGGGTGGCTTAAAGCAGAAATACGGTGTTTAGGAAGATGGCTTTTCAGTTGTGCCAGGCTGGCTCTGTGGCCTTTTGAGCTGGTCGGGGTTGTTCTGGAGCCACACACCGAAGATCCTCTCCCAGTGACACGTGTGTAGTCCTCGCTATCACACACACAGTCGGATACGAGGCTGGGAAGGGAGTTGCACAACTTCAGCGATGGAATTCATGTAGCTAAATCTGTTATCATCCCTGTGGATATACTGGAATAACTCTTTGGCAGCTCGTAAGCGGTGTCTTGTCGCTTTAACATCTTGGAACACATCAAGGGTAGGTCCTGTTGATAGGCTCAAAGAAGCTGTGAGATGTGATGGTTAGAAGTGTCTGGGCGGGTCTCCCCTCTGCTCAGGACCCCAGGTCTGTTGCAGTCTTACTGGCAAAAGCTCCGACAGCTCAAGGCCAAGTTGGTGAAGCGCAAGAGCTTTGGCTTTCCTTGTTTCATGAGGGCTGATATCCTTGCACTGATCTGATCCACTTGGGGTGTGGGGATCAGAAGCGCTAGTGACAGCTTTCAGCTGTATTTTGGAGAATTTCTGTGCTGCGTGGGGCAAAGATACGACCTTAAAAACGACGTTTCCCCCTTTGGAGAATGGGTTTTGCTGGTGTTGGCTGTACATAATTTCTGGTAGCTGAAGAGTTTTGCTGTGTAATGTTCCAACTCCATGTAGATTAAATGTATTGCGGAGTCAAACTAAACAATAGCATGTGGTTTTCCTTTGTTCCCCCCCTTCCCCCACGATAGGAGCTCACAAAAGTTTCCGAATTACGGCTGTGTGTGCATATGCTCAAGCATAGGCTCGGATTTTCATAAAGCTTGCTGAGGGCTGTTACTTCTGAGGAACTATTTCACGTTTGCAATAGCTTCAGGAAATCTCTTTGTTTTTTTTTTTTCCAAGAGCCTTTTCGAAAGGTGCGTTTTGGTGTAGCGCTCGGATACTTGTTGCCTAAATACTTTGCAGTGACAGTGTATCACAGCTTGATGGAGATTTGAGTCTCCTCTAATAAAATGCAAGCTAAGGAGGAAAACCCCGAGGGTTTTTTGGAACAGAAGATGTTTTCTGTTCCTGCCACTAATCTTTGTTGCAGAATGAAATAGGAATGTATACTTTAAATCTTTGTCAGGGTGTAGAAGGAAGCTGGCAACGGATGTAATCAAAAATGTTGTTATCAAAACTCTCTAAATATGTTGAAATTTTCAAGCTTAATGATATAATTTTAAATTCAGCTATTCAGACTGAGGCATTTTTTTGGGTGCAGATTGCACTTTCAAATTGCTGTGCGAGTCGGGATCAACCGGAGTGGAGTCTAGGACCAGATAACAGACGGTGGATGCTGAAGTTAGACGGGCTGCAGTTGTGTGGCTTGAGTCTCTTCAGCTCTGCGAATCGTCGTAGGAATGGATCTCAAATGAGTTGGGTGGCAGCATTAAATCGAGGCGGGGCTTTCTAGATTACGGGCTTTTGAGCTGAGCACTTAAAAAATGGTCTAGTTTTCAAGTTAGCATTTTTCCTAGTTAGTGCATTTGCCATTGCTCGTATGTAACCGACGCACATGGAAAGTATGTGTATTCAGACTGTGTCTGAAACAACTCTTACTGGTTACAGTAAAACACAGTGAAGCAACACCAGATCCTACGCGCGGTGGCAAAGACCCTAATCCGCCTACCCGGTACGACACGAGACCGAAAGTTTCCAGCCTTACTCTTGTAGGTTGGAATAAGGGAAGCTGCAAGTAACCTTCAGCCTTCCGACCCTTCTTCCTCGAGCGGAGGGGGCTGCAGGTTGGGGACGTGAAAGAAGCTGAAGTCCTTCTCCGAGCCAAAGGTGTGAAGCTGTTTATTTTCACTCTGGAAATGTATATATTACAGGAGGCAGAGGCTAGCCTGCTTAACCTAAGCATTCGCTACTTATCTGGGGTCTGGCAAGCGTACAAGTGTTGTCCCTTCTAATCCCCCAATGCTAAAAAGTCCAGGCACCTTTCTCTGGCTAAGTCTGAGGTTGCTTTAAAAAAACACACACAGAGAAGCCAACAAAAAAAGAAACATTCGCTTTCTCTGCCAAGTTTAAATGAAGACTAATGCCGTGGTGCTGCTTAATCTTGTTTTTCTTGCTATCTGATGGATGCTAACGTGGGATGGAATCAATCCCGGCAGCCGGTTATCTTTGCAGGGCCCCTGTGTGTTGCTGAGCTTGGCATTAAAGTCTTGCGGGGGAGCTGACGTGCTATGAAGAGTCTCGAACCTTCTTCCTACGTTGCGATGCCACAGCAGCGGTGTCCCTTCTTCCTTTGGGAAGGTGTCTCCTGGAAACTCCGGTCTGCCGTTGGACGTCCGAACAGAAATCCTGTTCAGCAGAGTAGGATATGTCTGTGCGAGTGAAAACAGGGCGCAGTCAGGTTAACCCGGTGGAAAATTCTCCCTGGTACCCGTGATGAAACTTAACTACTTTCCTATCAGTTGCTCATGTTTGAACTGGTTCTGCTGGTAATAGCTGCCATTACCCTGATTCACGGGAGGAGGTTTAGGGCTCTGACTCACAAACTGCCGCTGTTTGACGTTGCTGCCCCCGACTGCCCATCTGCTCTGGGCTGGGGTCCCTGCCTCCATCAGGGGTGAGCCGACAGCGCGGCGGCGGCGACTCGGAGCTCAGCTGCAGCAGGTGAAGCAGCAGAGCTGGAGAAGCCAAACCCTCAGGCTACGGTTTTTGTGATCGTTGCTGCCTCCTTCCCCTGGATCGACGCTCTCCTTCGGCTCGGCTGGCACGAGGAAGGAGGCGGGAAGCTCCGGCCGGTGCTCGGTTGCCCAACACCACCGAACAAATCAACCCAAAGCCCCCCTCTCCTTCCCCTGTGTTCTGCTACCCCTCTCCTCGTGTGGGAGCCAGGTCAGTTTGTTGTAACAAACCTGGCCTGACCAACATGATTTTCCTTTTTTTTTTTTTTCTTCTTTCCTGCCTAGCTGTTGCATTGAGACAGCTTTTATCTGGGCCCGAGGCTAACGGGATTGTTTCGCTAGAGGAATATTGTCAGTTGTGTCAGGATTCCTTCCCTCTAGGTTATGAAGCGCAGAAGCGTGTTTTTGCCGGAGAGTTCGGACTTCAATTTTGAAACCAGGTTTGATCTGTTGAGCGTGGGGGAAGGGAGGGGAGGAAAGCAGTAAAACCGAATTACCCGGTTAGCTTACTGTAACGCTGAAGGATGAATTGTTCGAAGGCTTGTTTTAATCAGGGGAAGAAAGGACGGACTCTTTCCTGCTTTCTCCCTCAGCTGTCACTGGTTAGCCGGTTTGCTTTTCAATAAGCGTTGTTCTCCTTCCTATCTACCCTGGAGACCGGGTTCAGCGGCAGCGTGTGTTGGCATTGCATGTGACAGTGTGTGGACTACTGTGAAAGGAGGGGAAGCAGCAATTTCAAGTGGAGGACAGCACTTTTCTTTAGGAAACAGAGTCAAAATGGATCATTTGCTCTGTTTTGTGCACGATTTCAGCCCTCCGCAGGCACGGTGAATTCTGAAGGGTGGCTAACAACTGTGCTGTAACACACAGGCTTTGCTCTCCGGTTCCAGCGCGCCTCCCATATCCTGCAGCCATGAGTTCACAGGCTCCTAATTGCCTATGATGTAAGACAGCAGTAGATGGGGTTGCTATAAATTCTGGCTGCAGGTGTGGATTTAATAGTTGTGCTTCCCTTTAAGGGATCACGGATAGCATGGATCCCTGCAAGTTGCAACAGACTGAGTTGGACTCTGGGTAAGGCAGCTAAAAGAACCCATTTGCCTGCGTTTTTTTTTTTAGAGCTGTTGCTTGCTGGAGGCTACCGATGGATGAGGTGTCGGTGTTCGTCTGGAATCGCCTCAGAAATGAGCTCGCTGTCCTCTAACA